TGCCCGATTCTTCTCCAGTTAATTAAGCCAGGCTCGGCTGGACTTTGGCAAGGACATATGCATGTGCTCTTGTTCAACATTAACCTAAAGGTCAAAATGAAGCAAGGAGGACATACCAATTGACAAAATTATTTCACGTGTACATTTTGAAACATGAAACTATTTAGACATTTAAAAAGGGACACACCTCAATTAGCACCCTGTAGATTTGGTTGAAGAACATGAAAGTACCACGGACCCCCAGGTGGTCAGACAAACACGCATTGCAAAGAGGCCAGCCAGAAAGCTCCTTGGGAATGAGGATGGTGAGACTGTCGTACGTGCTTTGGACATGTTATAGGAGAGCCCAGGGCCTGGAGAAGGGGATCATCCTTGGTAAAGGAGGTGGCTGACCAGTAAAAAAGGGGATGCCAAAGCCACCGTGGTGAGGCTGGTGTAAGACGGGGCAGTGTTTCCTTCTGTGGTACATAGGGTCACTCTGAGTGGGATCTGACTGGAGGGCATCTAATGGCAGCATGACCAAACCTCAGGGTGCCCTTCTTAGTTCCTGCCCCTCCCCACCCACCTACCCTGCATCGATGTTTGGAATGTTGTTTTGGTCGTCATAACCCCAAATGATCTTTGTTCAAATCAGACAACCAAAGTCATTTCCCAACGAGAAATCAGGTCGGAAGTAAAATTTAATCTTCACTTGTCACTCCAGTAAACACCTTTGGAAGAGTCTTTCTGTGCCTGCCCACAGGCTGGGTGTACCTACGTGTTCTCTCATAAATCCGAGGCAGTGATCTCGTCTCAAGTCAAAGTCTATCAAACCAGTCACCCCTGCCACCCAGCCCCTGGCGCATGACTCAACAGGAAGGGGCCGGTTACAGAGCGCAACAACTACTGCCGCCACCGTAGCTCCTGCTCAACAGCAATAGCTTCTGGAAGAAAACAATTAGAGCAGACATCCTTCTCTAATTCGAGTGAAGACAGAGCAGACACTTGACTGGCACAAGGGACCAGGTCTAGCTTGGGACCAGCACTACCACATTTTTTTTTAAACCTGGGAAAGAGAATTTTAGTCAAGAGTAGCAGAGGAAAATCCATAGAACAGCCTACCCTTAATCCCCACATTTTCACAGCCATACCACTTCCTTATGTCTGTTCCTATTTGGTTACTGTTTTGGGAAATCTAAGGCTTTTCTTGAAACAGAAGTCTAAACAGGAACTTGAATGGGTTACTGTACGGTTTATGAAGTTCCATCAATTAACACCCCACCATAGTCTTTCTATAGGGCTCACTATTTATTAGCGTTGGTAGAGTTTAATAGAAGTAGACAAACAATGAGGAAAAACCTTGTCTACAGGTTTTTTCAGCTGGTGCTACAAGTTGGCATTATAGCATTGCAATCCTACTGCCATTTCAAAAACACATACTACTTTTATTTTCATTAGCGATGCAATATTCTTCCATCTAGGATACTGATTTTAAGCAAGGTGTTTAGTGCTAGTACTTTGTCCAGTAATAAAGGTCAGAGTCACAGGTTTAAAACATCCAAAGTATCCAAAGATTCTTTAAAAAAATTATCATGAGGGAGGGGAAAAAATGAGGAGCTGATGCCGGGGGCTTAGGTGGAGAGCAAATGTTTTGAGAATGATGAGGGCAATGAAGGTACAAATGTGCTTTACACAATTGATGTGTGTATGAATTGTGCTGAGAGTTGTCTGAGCCCCTAATAAAAGGATTGGAAAAAAAATGTGATGCCGACTATTGCTTGAATCCTAGTTTAGCATGCTATGACTGTTCTCAACACAGCTTCTCTGAAGGGATGATTCTTCCTGAGTCGGAATGTGATAGGTTGCCAGGAGGGAATGACATAATGGGAACAAGTGCTTCCCACTGCAAACACATGCTAGTCACTGAATGTTTACCCTGGTTATCAAGGCTGCACTGTACTTACAGTTACTTTATGTGCCACACAAAGTTCTGATGTGAACATGTGTGTTTGCTGTGGATCTCATACCTACAAGGGGCCTTGAAAATGTTTCTGGAGAAATTCCACTTTTTCCACACACCTTTTGAAGGCCCCAGGTCGAAGTATCGACATGGCCGAAGCTGCGTTTGCTGTTTCCAAAAACCTGGTACCTGCAAGGCCAGCAAAGGTGAAACCTAAGAGGAAAGGATAATTTCTTAGTTTAGCTTCGTAAAAGTTGAGAAAGCAATTATCATAAAGGTTGCCAAAGAGTAAATAGTTAATGCAGAATTCTATGGAAATACAACCACCTAGATCCAGAATGCTGACCTGTAATTAAGGAGAAGATATTGTATCAGCTAAATTAGAGGTTGGAAATCTACAGCCTGCTGCATGTTTGCATAAATAAAGGTTTATTGAAGCGCAGTCCCGTCCATCCGTTTACAGTGAGTCGATGGCTGCCTTTGCATGGCACACAGAAGTGTGGCTCACTTGCACCAGGGAACGGATAGCCTACAAGGTCTAAAATACGCACTATTTGACCTTTATAGAAAACACTGCCAACGCGAGCTATGTAATCCACATCTATGCTTTTCAAAGACCTCAAGTGTCCATTTGAAAACCACTTCAATTCATCCATCGAAGGATCATCCAGTGTGACAACTGCTTCACATTCTTGGGGATATTACAGAAGTTGGTAGCTATAAACTTTCCTCAGCTTTGGAAAGCCTGTTCCTAGCAATGCATCAAGACAATTAAGATCCAAGCCAAAAGATATTTTGAAGGAAATTCTTTCAATTAATTAAAGCAATATTTAGACCTAGTATTGCCCCCTAATGGTCATCCCGTAGGAATGACACCCCTTTGAAAACTACTGAATCAGCAAATTTATTGTCCCGCCACTCCAAAATCCTGATCCTCATGGTTCCTCTCCAGCAAGTATACTACGTTTGTTGTCTTAGAAGAGTGACTTCCGGGGCATGCACTGTGGTTAAGATTTTACATATGTACAGCATATGTCTGTGTCTATAAGGAGCAGAGTTCCCTTCTCAGTTTTTTGGGAACATCTTCCTTAGAAAGTCTCTCCCTTTACTATTATTATTAAAAATCAAATCGAAACAAAACAACGCCTCAAGCAAAGGGAGACAGCGGGCACCTCTGCCTTGTAGGCATCCACGTGAAGGCTCCAGGACTGGTTCTTTAGCCTACAGAAAGCTCTCGCCCCAGGCCCTGCCCTCCCTCAGACATTCGGCGGTTTCTTCATTCTTGAAGTGACTTATTGGAAAAACAAGGTCTTCAAAATTAAAAAAAAATATATATATATATATATATATATATTTATTTATTTTAATCTGAAATCTACTCATACCAAAACATGAATTCATCATGGCTGGACTTTTACCCCCAACCAGAAAGCCTGTCTCTTCCCCTTAAAATCCCACAAAACGTACAGTGGCGCCACAGAGAGAACCCAGATAGTACTGGGTAATTCACAAAGTCTGAGTCTTTAGCACCTCGTTTTCATCTCCTCCAAGCTTTGTCTAAAGAATGTCGGGAAGCTGAGATGGCCAAATGAGGTGCTCAGTATGATCTTTAGTCCATGGAATTATCAATTAGCTCCTTACCTTAAAAACAACAACAACAACAACAAGGCCAGAGACTGAGGGAGGCATCCTGTTACCACTCCCAGGCACGAAAAGTCCCCAGGAGTCCCTGCTCTCCTGGGCATCCTTCTGAGACCATGTCGCCAACATTTCCATGAGAAGCTTCATGGATAGGGCATGTCGCAGTAGGTGCTATCCGTATTGCTGAGACATCGCCCTTGAGAATAGTTCAGTGAGAAGGTTAAGGAAAAGAAATGTCCTCTTACAACAAACATGGTGATGCCTACAAATAAAAAAAGGAAATTGGCTGCAAGGACTGGAAAGAGCTGATTGTCAGGTCTATTCTACCCTCTAGTGGCCACAGAGAAGACTGTTCTTTTAAAAAGCCTTGACCAACACCGGGATATTTCTCAGGCTCGATTACAATAGTCACAACCACCAGCTTATCTTCATGTGCTTTATGTCTCTGTCAAAAGAATTAATGTTCAGAGAAGCCAATGCTTTCAAAATTTTGCCCATTCAGTGTTTTTTATTTTCTGCTGAGTGACAATACTGGTCAATCGAGGAGAGGCACAGGCCCCTTTCTCATGTCACATTGACTCTCCGGTGACAAGAGCAATCGTCTTTACTGCTTGACAGAAGGAATTTTGAAACAAGCATCTTTTTGAAGAGCACTCTGCACCACGGGGTATTTACAAGCCCAAGCAATAATTAAATATGCTGAAGACTATGAATCTATTCTTCTCTGCCTAAACCCTTCATTTTGATAATGGATAATTACAGTAAAAGTTTTGATTAATCAGAACCCTCAATTTAGATGATTTCAAATCCCTTCTTGTACTCTATTTTTAGGGCAAAGTGGAGTGAAAGAATCCACAAGAAGATTTTATTCCAGGGAAGGATTTTGTTTGAAAATCGTCTAGGATAGCTTAGGGAACCATGGATCACCAGGTAAGAGATGCACGTGGCGGGACCAGAGCTGGAAGGAAATGCAAAATTACAACAAAAAGGTCAAGGTGGTGGTGGTACTGTGAACCATTTCTGAGTCTTTGGCACAGATTGTTACTTTCCAACACTTAGAACCCAAAGCGCGTGTGTGTTCCAGGACATAAAGCATGAACTCAGGAGAAAATTCCACCTTTGAGTCTTCTCCACTGATACATTTAGACAGCAAAATTGGGACAGAACCAGAATCCTAAGTCCTTGAAAGAGCTTTCGAATTCAGTGATACTAGTAATGTATCAAGACAACACAGGGCACTGGTGAATATTTATCCTAACACGAGGTGAAACAAGAAAACACATACATATAACTATCGATGTTTTATAAACAAATTTGAAAATAAGCTCACCCGGGTACCCCTTTATTCTGAAGCTTTCATCTTTCCTGGAGGGTTCACTGACGCATAAAACTTAAAGACCAGAGTGATCAAGCACGACCATCTATTTAAAATACTGTTTATTTGTGATTTAACATTAATTAGCATTACATCTAAGAGCAATATCTGATAACATTTATACATTTTTCCACAGGACACAGAGGTTCATTGGCTCATTCTTTATGCCAAAGCAAGTAAATAGAGGCATTAGCAAAAGGTGCAAATAGTTCACTGTTGCGTTTAAAAAATATTTATGCACATTGCATTCATTTAGATATATATATATATTTTAAAAGTTATGGAAGAAGCATAGTTCACAGGTTACAGTTTCTACATATGTTGTAATACAACAACTGATGTAGAACATAAAAAAAGGAAAAAGATTTCTCAAACACAGAGTTAAGCAACTGAAAGTTTCCTCTATGCGATTAAAACACTGATTCCAGTAGTTATTGAGAACTACAATGCCGTTTCCAGGCTCTGGATCAACTTGGCATCATCACACGCACACATCAAACAGAACCAACTGCAGCACACACTGTAATCAATGCCATGTTTGGCATGCCAACTCGCCCTCCTGAAGGCATTCTGACTTAAGTTTTACCCACTGGCCATTTTGGATTACTGATTTGACATTGATTTGTGACATCACTTGGGAAGAGTGGAGGTGGGGGGAACTATATTTCACCTAGGTTTAAATCTGTATTTACATTAGAAAGAAAGTTAACTGTAAAGATAGAAAGGTTTGTAAAATCCAAAAAGTGGTAGCTTGCTCAGTGGTGAAAATAGACCCCACTGATTTTTCTCTAGTGTTGCCCGCTAAAGATAAACACGTTGGAAGCAGTTGACCTTTGAAAAACTCAAATATCAATCAAGGAATACATCTATTTTGGCAAAGCAGCGGGCTTTTAGATATGTAGGACATGTTCCCAATAAATCATGCTTCAAACCTTATTGTGAATGAGTCCTTATCAAACTCGAACACCTTTTTCCTGTCCCATCTTTTGCTCCCTTATACTTGTCACTTTCTCATTTTTCCCTTTCTTGTGGCTACCTTATGAGATCCCCCATTCATTAACAATACTAAGAGAAAAATACATTACAAGATTCAAATATGAATCCAGTTATACTTTTTATATACTTGAATCTCCTTTTGAGAACAAGTCTCTGGATTCTGAAATTAGATTTAAGTCTACTCAGTGCTGCGGACATGCTCTACTACTTAGTGATTGGCTAATATGCGTATGACAGTTTTATACTGGGTGGTATACAAACATCCCAACATATAAAATTTTTTTTTGCCAGAGTTAAACTAAATAACTCATATTATGTGTATAAAATCCCCCTTTTTTTGAAAAAATAAGGGGTTTCTAAACTAATAAAAAAGGAAGTTTTCAAAAATTATAGTTTACTAGAATGGCCTTTTTTTTGGTTTTTCTCTTTTGGCAAACAAAGTTACTTCAGGTGAGAAATTTTATACAATGAGTAAAATTCCAAATGAATTTTTTTCTTGAGTTTTAAAAAAATAGTATGTGCCAGTGTATACTAATGCTATAGATTCTTGTCTTAGAAGCTCTTAAAATATTGTGAAGACCCATTGAAACAATGGGGACCCACAAGAAACAGTCAACACTAGTAATAAAAAAGTTATCATCCGATGACCCAGTGAGGCAACTGTTGAAAATTACAACTCTCTTGCTTGCTCACTAGTAATTTCTTCGAATCGCTGTTATGGAGAAGGCCTGTAGTAATTCAGACCTGTATCTGCTGGAGGTGAACCATAAGACCAAGCAGAGCTAATTAATTAAAACCAGTAATTCGTTAAAAATTAAATGACACTTTTGAATCTATAACATGAGAGATGAATTTGGAAGTGATTCCATAATGTTTTTCTTTTAGTAAAACAGCTTTCCAGTTCTTAGCATCCAGTTTGCTATATACCCACCCATTTGATCTACCACTGTATATTAATGATCAACTTAAATGTGGTACTTAAATGTGCAATGTCACATAATAATAATAATTATTATTATTATTATAAAAAGGACTTTACTTAGGCTTCAACCTTCTCCTTTTTTTTGTTCTTTTTCAGGAAAGAGGGAGTGCGGAATTTCTTCTTTTTCTTGGATGGTGATTTTGAAGGTGAGCCTTCAGGTGACAGGACGTCTTCAATTTTTTCTGGAGACTTGATGGTAATCTCGATGTTGTCTATGGCCGTGCTTGTGGTCAACCTGCTCACTCGCTTGGCAAGCTCATCTTCAGCATCATGCAGGTCATCCTGGCCATTGACCACCATGACAGGCACTTCCATGGAGATGAAACTCTTGGAAAACAGCTCATGGTTTTCTACAAAAGGGAGTTTTCTCTTGTTATTTTACACAGTTAGCACCGAGGCTTAATTTTACAAAGTTGACATGCTTTGTCAATGTACTAGGGCATTACTTTCATTCCAATGAAGATAAACATTATTTAATAGACCTTGGATTTATTAGCTTGAAACTAATTTTCGTAAGTGATATGTAAGTGGAGATCAAAGAACACAAACTACATCACTTCAGCTTGATTACCAGGCAGGTTCATGTTGAAACTCATATATATATAAGAGGAACACAAACCTTAGTGCTCTTTAGTTTGGGGGAAATTTTGCCAAGGAAAATGATTCCATGCCTCTGACTGGAAGAATCATGACATAGAAATTTCAATTTTGCAAATTCTTAAGGACTTTAGGCTGGCCAAAGTCCAGATTAAGGTAAGTCTATATAAATAAATGTTGAACAAAAGTAACACCCTAATTATGATAAAATAAATAAAATTATTGGGAGGTTTAAGGAAATGTAGGACAAACTTACTATGACCTTACATGCAAACAAATGACAAAGCAGCAGACTCACAGGACTAACCCAGTGACTACGGTGGGAAATTACATCGAATACCTTCTAATTTTTCAGGGGCATTTTGCGGTGACTGAGTTTGAGAGTGATTTTGTGAAACAGATGAAGCATCATCTGAGAGTAATTCCTGCTCATCAGCATCTGTTGGATAAGAGTTTAGTTAAAAGCCATGCAAAATAAAATATACAAAGAAGCATAAGTAGTCAGGGAGGTTAGTGCATACATCAAGAGCCTGCATACACAGATGATGAACTCTTCAGCGATTGGCTGAGCATGCTAACAGGTAGTTCAAAATCAATTATTATTCATTATGAAAAGTTAATGTGTTAAAATTTCTGACTGCCAGTAGCAATTTCACATACAGGGTTAATAAGGGAAGCACGGGCACTGAGCGCCCAGGCGCATAATCTTTATGCATGTAGCTTTTGCTGGAATGTGGTAAAACCAAAACATATTGAGCCCCAAGGTACAAAGATTTAGAATTCTCTCCACAATGTTGCTACATGGGTGTGACAGGATGCTTCACGGCCACAGGAACTTTGGAACACTGTCCAATGAGATTTAGGTTGGAGCAGTATTAGTGGGCTCATCATGAATATGGGTGAAACTTGTAAGGCACAGAAAAAGGGTGATGGCTCTACAGTGCAGTACTTGTTACCTGGCATCTTTAGGCTTTCAAGAAACAAGAGATGAAAAAGGGACATTTTACAAGAAGGTAAACAGAGAAAACTGCCAGCCATATGCTATAATAAACAAACAGAATAATACCCCTTTCAGCCGTTAGTGTAATTATAATTATAGTCCAGATGATCCCCTCTTAGGACAATGGCTGCAACACACTGGTAAAAACACGGTTTGCTGGATGATCCCACATGGAACTAACATGGACAGTTTTTATTGGCTTCTCTTTGGCCTTGGACAAAAAACTTAAGAAAGACTTTCAACTGTATGTTATGCATGCACTAAGCACAAGTTCTAGCTCTCTTTCTGGGTGAAAGACTCTTTGCCCCCATCTTGAACACGCCCTGCCTTGATGAACAGCACATCTCACAATAGTTGAGTAGCTATTTTACAGGTGGGCCATGAAATGGCTGAAGCTCATCCACAGACTCGAGAGCTCTTATTCTAGAGAAAAAGAAAGCTAGCATTCCATTAGCTGAGGTGTTTCCATAAACATTTTTAAACATAATCCCAAACTCATTAAAAGTTCCGAACTCAATATCGTTGAATGCCAAGTGCTTAAGGAAGGTCACATCAAAATTCTAGGTTTTTTTTTCACATTTTGATTTTAAAGTTATAATATTGACACTCAAGACACCCAGGAATAAAAAGTTTTACTATGCACCAAAGCCACATGCTTGTGAATCTATGATTACTTCAAAATAAAAAGTGAAAACTGTTGTCATCTATTATGAAATGTTTAAATCTATTGATGCACCTCTATCTATTTCGGCTAGCATAAGAAACTGAGAAGACAGCTAGCACAGATGACTTTCCGGTGAAAGAGTTGCTCCTCTGCACGTTAACATCTACGGTCTGTGGTGGGGAGTTCTTGACATTTCAGCTCCAAACCCTCAGGAAAGGACCGAGGCAGAGAAGAAATAGATGAAGTGAAAAGAACTGCCTGCTTTCTTCAGTTACCCAAATCAAGGTGCTCCCATCGTGAGCAGGTGCGGTTATGCTGAGCTTAGATTAAAAAGCAACTCACCTTCCAGGCCCTGGTGTTTACGTTCGATTGTCTTCTTGTATTCTTCCAGCTCTCCTTCTGTGAGATGACTGAAAGGGTTGGGAGGAGCTGGTGGCGCATGATCGTCATCTTCACATAGCATGGTCTTGCGAAGAAAACCGTTTGTTACCAAGGGCTTGGAAATAACAGGTACACATCCATCTGCCTGCCCACCTGCCTAGCCTTATCTAGTTACACAAAGGGACTACACAAAAAGGTTTTGGGAAAATTCCATTACCTTTTACTTCAGTTTTTCCATGCACTTTTTTGAAACTGGGAAAAAGACAGGACTTTCTACTCCTGTAAACAGTTAACAGTCTCAGAAACTCACAGGGGCAGATCTACCCTGCCCTATGGCGTTTGAAAGCCCCTCATAAAAACTCTTGGTGGATCTCTATCATACCCAGGCAAACCGAACCCTCTGCTGTCGTGTTGATTCTGATTCACGGTGACTGCATACGACCCAGTAGAATGGTTGAACAGTGTCTCTGAGGCTGTGAACCCTCAGAGACGGAGACTGTCTCTTCTTTTTCACAGGGAGCAGCTAGTGTGTGTGAACAGCGACCTGTTGGCTAGCAGTCGCTGTGCCACAGGGTCCTCTGGTGTGTGTGCACAATGTTGTACACATGTATATAACACACACACATATAGTTATTTGTATGATGTTTGGGATATCTCACTTTGCAACAATCATAAGAAATGATCAACTAATGTACTTAAAAACACACTCTTATTACATACAAGTAAATGCTCGTAACAGTGAAATGAATGAAAGGACCCTGGGAAGACCCTGTACTGGGAATGGGGAACTGGCTTTTTAAGTCTTGTAAACGATTTCATTTTTTTAACCTGTGCTTACATTACTTTAAAACCCACTGCCACTGAGTCAATTCCGACTCCTAGAGTGGAAATGTCCTATAGGTTCCCAAGGCTGTGAACTCTTTCCCAGAGCAGACCAGCTTTATCCTTTCTCTCATGCCGTGGCAGGTGAGTCTGAACCACTGACTTGCAATTAGCAGCCGAATGGATGCCAGGGCTACTTGAATGAAACATAAGCCTGTGTATTACAAAGGAAAGGCATCACTATGGCAGACTGAGAATGAGTATCATCTTGTTTAACAGACTTACAGAAGGAGGCTTATCCACAACAATGCCAGCAAGCAACTGAGACTGTGGACCTGCTGTTTTCAAGTCATAGCGGTTTTGTTCCCGAATCTGAATTAAAAACAAAACAACAGTCACAACGTGATCTTTGGGGGCAGCTAAGCAGATGACCTTTATTTTCTCTTTTCCTAAAAACTGATTTTGAAATCGTCCCCATCCGTAAGTTAAGAGCCTGTTCAATTTCCACCTCCAGAGAGTCCTCTTCCCGCTGTAACAGCTCACATGAATCTCCTCCAGTCTTGTAGGCAAATGATTGCCTATTCTCTGAGGTGGCTTCAAAAAGTTCTTGGAGTCATTATCTTTTAATTCCATTTTGCCATGGACTTCTTGAAGTCCCCTCATATTGGTAGAGAACTACACTTATCATAAAATAGTAAAGCTGTTTACAAAGCTCTCCTTCTCTCCCGTCTTGCCGAACTCTGAATAGTACAGTTAGTTGTATCCAATACACGCTACAATGACATTAAATGTAAAATTCTTCTGTATTTACACCCCCAAATCTGATATGAACAGCATAACACTGGGTGCTCTGGCCATCGAAGACCATGTCTCACCTTATTTCTCTTTTCCAGTACCTCACTCGGGTTTGTGTTTAAAGGAACAAACTGATTTGGATCTTCAATTTTGATAGGCGTTCCACTGCTCACTTTAGAAGAGTCCTCTGCTTTCATCCACTACAGCATTAACAACAACAACAAAAAACTAAAATGAAGCTTCATATTAAGAAACTATTGTAACTGCTCCATACAGTTTATTGACTCATGGAAGGTGGGGGTATATTGTAAATCCTAAAAAATTTAACTAAGTATAATATTTTAATGGTAAATTAGTCTCTCTCTCATACTAGTTAGAAAAAGACTCATTATCAGCATTCACATAAAAAAGCAGTAATTGTACATGAATATTCAATTATGCTATAAGCACAACTTTGTCCTCTGTGTTTTTTCATATGCTGCTGCTGAAAATATTTCAAATAGATACGGAACATGATCTTCACACTAACTCACATTCAGAGTTTTGTTTCCTACACTGAAGTTTCATCAACTAATGAGGACCAGGTAGTCATGGAAAAGGACTCCAGAAATCTCAAGACTTGGAGTCCCACATGTGACTTCCTCATTTTACTGATAGAAAAGGCCAAGCCTTCTGACTATATATTACAAAGTCATGGAGCCAAAGGTTGGAATAACCTTATATAAATTGTCATTTGTTCTACTTCGTAATCTTTAACAAAGGCTAATATTCATCAAGATTAATAATGGATTCCCATTGATCTGTCAATAAAATGCATTCTGAAAAACATGTGAGTGTAATTAAGGATGTTCTTTGGGGTCAAGTACAACATGAGTCCGCTGAGGTAAGTTTAAAAAAAAAAAAGAAAAATGCAAAACTGGCATAGGGAAAAAGCTACTGTATATAAACATTCCTGGGGTGAGGACCAGGTAGTATGGCAGAGACCAGACCAAATCAAGGGATACATATGGTAGCCAACTAAAAAGGAGGCGGGGAAAGGAAAAAAAAAAAAAAGGGTAGTGGAGGCAAGGGCACTAACCCACCCAAGGGGAGGGTATTGTTATATCTCCACAGGGAAAGAGGGACCAGACTTCAACACAGTGCCCAGGAAGATGTGAATGCAACATGCCAGCGTGGAACCAGTGGAGAGGTCTGTGGGGCCGTCCCAATCCCAATTACATGGACACTTGCCCCTGCCCCCAAAAGAATTTATCTCCGAGGATGGCAATGAATCCGCAGCTC